GTTGGCCTCAACCAACTCTCCAGCATTAGGATTCTCATATGATTTTGCTGCCTCAGAGTATGCAACAAGACCTCCACCACTGTCATTTACATGAATAAGGTCAGAAAAGAACAAAGTCACTGCAACAGATAACATAAAGAGCTGCAGTAGAAAAGTATCTCTGAAGGTGGTAGGATGGAAGAAAAATGTCCGTTGGTGCTTTTGGGAAAAAAAGAAGGTAGACCAAATTTTCATTTCAAAAAGTAATAATGATAATAAGGTAAAAGCCTATGAAGCACCAATAATAAAGTATTTTTTCCACAGGAGCCAACTGCACCTTCATATTGCTCCCAAAAATATATTTTCTTTTCGAGAATAGATGATTAGAAAACTTGCTTAAAAATATCATGTATATAAAGCATAATAAGTAGAGACTAGTTGAATAGCGCAATTTTTTAGCACTACGATATAAAAGGCTTCCAAATGGATGCACCAAAGAGACATCCCATATTACTGATTTAGTAAAGTAGGGACGGAGCTTAAGCCTAACATTTATCTCATCTTACGTGCCCTCAATTTGCAGCCTCATACCTAAGCTATCTGTATTCCGTTGCCATTTCCCCTGTTCTTTATCCTATTTTCACCTTTGATCTAGAAAACTCTGTGTCTATAGTAAAACATTTAGCACTGAAAAAAGCTACTGTACATGACAATCACTACATTTTATAGCCCGATCATGGAGTATTAAGCATCTGATATTAAAGCAATCGCAAGTCAAAATGATTTCATTATTGCAATAAACACATAAGCAGGAAACAATAGACTTTAGTGGAATTAGGATTCCACAAGCATGCTTACTTCTAATTCCATCAACAAGGCAAAGCAATTATTGAAACAGAGCGAAGCAGAGGTACCTGCTCTGCCACTATGCCAAGTAAATAACTATAACTAAATAAGTAGAGAACTAGGATCAGTATATTATCAAATTACTATACAAACTTCCTTTAGCTAGGAGATAAAACATTTCGCCAAGACCACCAAACAGTCAAAACTTTAGTTAGCAGATCGGAAAATTCTTATCCAGAGACTACTTGATCAAACTACAAAGTCATATCATAACCAACACATCGTCCCTTCACATAGAAATTCAATATAGCTGTTTCATTTCATCAGCAACGTGCATAATCATTTACGTTGTTTTCTTCATATTAACTGCCATAAACGTAACTAATTACGAGATTAAGAGAATTAAATTTAGCTGAAAATTAGAGAACTAATGCAAATTCAAACTCCGAAACAAGCAACCTAATAATCAAAGCTGATTATGTTAACATAGTACCAAAATATAGGAGAGCTACGAAGAGGAACCTGACGGTGAAAACAATGAGCAGCTTAGAAAGCGAAGGATTATCACGGAAAGTTTTCGAAAATCTCTCGATCACTGTTACTCTCTGCATTTTGCGTTCAATTTAAGCGATCTCACCTTGCCTTTTGTTCACCTATCAACAGAAACAAAAGCATCCATAAATTCGCCATAAATTAACACAGCTATACTACTAACGCTACAAAATCTCAGAAATATCACCTTAAAGTCACTTCAGGTACCAATAGAAATCAAAGCGTTTACGAATTCTTACATGGACCTATACAAATATACTACAAAATATATACCTGAGTTTTGCTGTTGCGTAGAGAGAGAACGTGGTGTGAGTTGTAGAAAAGGAGAGAGAATCAATGACAAGAAGAGAACATGGAAATGTGCAAAGTTTTTCCCCCCTGAGAAATGGGAATTGGGAAGGTGAAGAGTCAAAGAGAGTCAGGAAGCTTCTAATACTTTCCAGCTTAGAGCAGCGCTGGTCTTTGCTTAACGTGATGCCCAAGAATTAGACACATGTATTTTGGAAGGCGGAGTGCATTTTTGCTCTGTTGTCTCCGGAGGTGTTTGGATTGGTTTTTCCCTAAAAAGAAATCAAATTAAGTCGGTTTTTCAAATATTAAAATCAAATCAAATCAATTAAGTCGGTTTTTTCTCGATTCAATTTATATCGGATTTTGTTAATTTTTCGGTTATTTATTGATTTTTTCTTAAATATAAGACATACACTATCAAACACATATTCCGGCGGTCACATTTTCAACGTAACACTATCAAATCAATTGCCCTTTAAGAAATATATTATTTATTAAAATATATTGATGATAATTGAATCAAATAGTGATGAATAATTTAAGGACTCAATTAAAAATATATATTTTTAACATGAAATGGATTCTTATACTTAACAAAGGAAAACTACCAATCAAACTAGATTATAAAAGTAAAGAACTGTACTAAAAGTGCAAACGATTAACATTCACCATAAAAAATTTGAAACTTTGTATAAAAATATACATATATATAGGTGTAATAATAAATTTGAAATAGCTAATCCTATAGTCGGTTCGGTTCGATTTTTTTCGGTTATTTTTTTATTAAACCCAAAACCAAATCAAATTTGATCGGTTTTTAAAATTCAAAACCAAAACCAAACCAAACCAAAAAAGTATCGGTTTTTTTGGTCGGTTTGGTTTGGTTTTCGGTTTAGTTCGGTTTTTCGGGTTTTTATGAACACCCCTAGTTGTCACCGTCAAAAGTCAACACGTTCCTAGTTGGACCTATTAACAATAAAACTAGTGATATATAGTACTCTTATGTACTTCCAATAATAATTTGGGGTGTGTTTGGTATAACGGAAAATATTTTACGTGGAAAATATTTTCCAAGAAAATATTTTTTTGAAAAATAAGTAATAATCTTATTCATTTTCCGGTGTTTGGTACGCAAATTAAGGAAAATGGCTTCTCAAGAGTATTCATAAATAATTTAGATATAATAAACATGAAGCCATAAACTTTCAAACTAACAACCTTCCGAACCCACAAATTTCATAAACTTTCGAACCGCGGAATTTCGAACCCGTAAATTTTATAATTTCTAAACTCGTAAACTTTCAAACACATAAATCTCGAACTCATAATTTTGGAACTTATAAAATTTTGAACCTTTAAACCGATAAATAAAAAAACTAAAACTGAAAAATATTTTTTTCGCGCAGGGGGAGGGGGACAGAAAAAAGAAAAAAACA